TCTTTCATTGTAGAGAATTCTGTAATAACTTTGATATATAGGCCAATTATGTATTCTATATTTCAAGAATCCAATGTGAGTAAATGCTGAAAAATTTGAGTGAAAGAAAATATGATAAAGACCTATTACGGGAATTATTTATCCGAAACAATGTTCATTTTGCTGTGATTAGTCTGTACATGATTAATTTTGATCAGCTAATATCACGTTAACCCCCCATAATTAACTCTGCATTCATGTTATTTCAAACACATGCTTCGATCAAGGGCAATAGAAATGTGCTACATAATAAGTAAAAAAATCAGATTATCTATATTGCGCTTTATATAACAATTAAAAAATTTACTTACTTTAAGATCAGATGCATTAATATGTATCAGATACACTAGCTCTGCTATAAAGCCTAATAATTAGGTATTGCCAGCCTGGTACTGTATATAATTTTCAAGTTTATTGGCATTTTGATAATACTGATCTTGAGCATATTTCATAAATAGTTCATCAACTCGATAAAGCCATTTAATTACTACATACTGGATTACTTTAACCGAATTTATTTGTTTTTGCGTTTGTGTTATCCTATATATTTGATGATCATAACTTCGATGCACCCTCCCAAATATATTTTGAATAAAGGCAAGTGGTAGTAATAAATAATTCAGTATAAGATATCAAGATAATTAATCAAAAAAAAATTATATCCCATATTATCAATTCGATTTTAGTTCAAGCATCATCATTCTTTTTTGGCTTCTTTATGAGATATTTCTCTTGCTATAAATTTCTTGTATACAATAATACGCCAATCACCAAAAGCTAATGTAGTAATTCCATCTGATAAAATCCATCTCTTAGTATCTAAAGGGCTAATACCAACTTTAGATAAACAAAGAAGTCTGATAATATAGTCTTTACTTTCTAATCTATGGATTGTTACTATACATTTTTTTCGAGATTTTAAACAATCTTCAGAGTAAGGTTCTTTTTGACTACTACCTTTTGTACCCCTTTAGCTCTTCAATCTGTTTTTTCATCTGCAAGAATATAACTATAGAGCTTAGATCTTGGTCCACAAAATTTCTACATAGCAGTACCACAACTTTCATCTTTAAACTTACCAGGAACTTTTTTATTCAAAATAATTTTTTCTTTTCTGAGAGCTTTGTATATAGGATATTCCAGCTTATAATCGCTAAAATCAAAATGTTCATGCATCTCTGCCATATCTTTATAAACATTCTCAGTTCGAATAAGTAATATAAAAGAATCAGTATCCGTATATGCTACTTCTATATTATCTCCATATCATTTTTTTATAATATTATAATAGAAATTATATATGGTAATTTTACTTTTATCAAGGACAGACATACCAATAAAGATAGGTTTACTAAGTCTAGCTTTTGATTGATGACGAGAAATACCTACTAAATTCTCTGCTAAAATTCTATACGACTTATAACTGGGATCAGCTACTAATTTTTTAAACTTTTTCGATTCTTCTTCTGGTTTAACAAAATCTATTCTTTGATATTTGCGTACATTTTTTACAGTTTTTCCATAGTTTGCATTTCCAAGGAGCTTATATATATTTTTCTCGAAATCATTCTTAGCTAAAGTACGAGATCTTGCCAATTCTTTCATAAAAGGCTTCATCTATGGGCTTTGGTTAAATTTTATAGCTCGGTGAATTTTGGTAAATACCATTCCCTGCTTTATATAAAATTGTAATACTCGATAATGAACTATATACTTTTTCTTATTAAGATTTGGAATAAGTTTCTTTGTCTTTGTATAATGTTTTAAATCATTAATAATCTCTTGTCCACACTTACTCATTTCCTCTTTAGAAATCTCAATATTTTCAGGAGCTAAAAGATATGAAGTATGAGCTTTGTGTAATTTATATGGATAGTCAAGATCAACTTCCAAAATATAGCCTTTTTCTGCATTATCAGAGATCTCCCACTTGGTAATTTTATTAAAAAGGTCTGGAGTTTCATCTGGTGTTATCCATCTATATCCCCCTGTTGGCATAGATTGTATCATTGCTCCAGTATATAATGCATTAGCATCAATATATAATAGCCAAGTATAGAGTTTTTTCATGACTTCTTCTGACTCTGGAACAAAATCAGGATATTGTGGGTTATTAGCTTTAACTTGATGATTACTTACCATTGAAATACCTTCTTAGATACCTTTCTCGCAGAAAAGGTACATATTATCATCAGTAAATAGCTCAATCTCTTATCCTGTAGTTTTATATAAAGCATCTTCTGCAAATGAAGGGAGAAAAACATAGTAAGCAATATCTAATCCAAATTTACCTTTCATTAATTTGCAAAATCCTTCTAAACAATCTGCTAATAATAGTATGTCAAGATTAAGATAAAAGTCGTGATAATCTCTGAATGTTTTTATATCAAAAGATTCCCATACCTCCTGTGCTATTTTATAGGCTTTTTCTGAGCATTTAGATTTGTTAAGAATACTGTCAAAAGCCTCAATAGGAGGAAGGGAAGTAGCATCTATTTTTTCTGGTGTATTAAACTAATCATATGAGAAAGGAGCTTTATGAAATACTAAGTTATCCCTTTCTTTTGGTCTATGTTCTCTAGTTATGGAGAATCTCTCTAAATGAGCAAAACATTTATCTAAGTCAATTTGATAAAGATGACCAGGCTTTTTACATAGTAAGTTTAAAGAATTTCCATCTTTATTTACTTCCTCTTTACATGGTTCAGCTCCTAAGTTAGATATATGAGAATCAAGGGATCTAGGCATAAGTTATAAAGAATCCATATATCTTTGATTTTCAATATCGAGAGTGAGATAACTTTTCATATTGCAGTCGGTGATATTTCTATATTTGGATAGTGATGATCGCACTATTTATGGTATAGGATCGCTGATCAGATGATTCTAGAATCTCCAATAATGAAAACAGCATAATCGAAATAGTACACAAAATTATTATCAAAAAATATATATATTACATAACCTTGAAAAATTAGTTAGAATTTTATTAAAATTATCATTAAAAAAATAAATAAGACAAAAAAAAAAACAAAAGATAGTACAAATTAGCAAATATAATTGTATGCCACAAATCTAACTAATATGCTATATTCCAA